CGATGCCCAGTACCTGGGTCCCTTTAAAGCCCCCGGTTCCATTGGTTAGGGGCCCCCGCGAATAAAGGAATGTTCGCAAGGACCAAGCGACAACCAAGCTGCACTTCCCGCCGCTGCTTTAGCTCCAAATAAAATGACACAGTATAGTGAGTCCGTCCGGAGACACCTTCATCAATTAATTCCCCTAAAGCCAACGCTGATTGGACACTCCTGACAGGTGATGCAATAAAAATTGATATTCCACCCCTTCTCCCCCCCCCTCCAAAAAAATCTCCGGCTAATTAGCATACTCTTATAATGCCACCTCCCCTCCTAAAGTAAATAACCTATTTTACCATTTTGATATATAAATCTTTCCATGTAACTATCCAAGCTATGTGTACCGACATGGCCTTTCATTTCGGCTTTTTGTGTGCCAATTTCAGTGCTTATAGATATCTATATTTACCTATGTATAAAATATAAATGCATATACAGAGAGAGAGTACAATATGAGCCCAAACTTGCACAGTCACAAAGAACTTACCTCTTTGCCTTGCTGAATTTCCCCCTCTCTAGTAAGATTTCCCTGCCTTACAGCTCACAAGCGGCGCACGGCAGCGGTGCTCAGCATTTGCGCCGAGTTGTCTGCAGTGTAGCCGTAGGAGTCGGTGACATCAGGCGCTCCGGAAAGACGAGGCACAAATATGCACAATTTCGAAAATGAAAGGAGTCTTATGCAAAAAAAAAAAAGAGGAAACTTCAATGCTGCTCTGGTGCTCCGGCCCCCGCTAGCCCCCAGTTTGCTGCTCGCCGCAGCGCTAGAGGCGTCAGAGTCGCTGGGAGAGGAGCTGCTGCAAGCTCCGGCCTCTGCACAATGGAAGGAGCCTCGGCAGGCTTATTTTTTGGGGGAACGGTACAGGAAGCCAGCGCATAGGTAGCAGCTCCCCTTCATCTGATCGCTAGCTCTGAAATTCCCACTTTGCTCCTCTGGCCCCGACACTACTACTTGTTTTAGTGGGATATGACTCACACCCACGGCATGCACACACCAATATATATCTATATATAT